GCTGTTGCTGCTGCTGCTGCATGCACGGGGCCCCCCCCCCCCGAGAATACGAATAGATGATTTTTTGCCTTTCTCTACCTTTTAATATTAAAACTGCAGCACCGTGTAGCCCACAGCTGCTTGGACGCTTAGGCGATTTTTTTCCGCTGCTGCTGCTGTTGCTACAGCATTTGCTGCAGCAGCAGCAGGGGCAGCTGCTGCAGCAGCAGCAGCTGCTGCTGCCCTTGTAATGTTGCGTTAGAGCGACAATTGCTTGAACAGCGACGAGCAAACTCCGGCGGAGGCGCTACAGCTGAGGCAACCTGCAGCGGCTCCAGCGGCAACGCAGCAGCAGCAGAAACAGCAATCCAGCAGCAGCAGCAGCAGCAGCAGCAGCAGCAAATTGTTTAGATAATGGGAGAACCAGATAATGGAGGAGGCAGCACAGCCACTGCAGCGCTGCGGCTCGCGCAGGCCCGGCAGCGGCTGAGGCAGATGGCCGCCTCCACACAATCTCTGCTTGAGCGATGCAGCGTAAACCCTAAACCCTAAACCCTAAACCCTAAACCCTAAACCCTCCTTGTGCCCTGTCTTGCTGCTGCAGCACCCGCGTGCAGCAGAGACCGCTCCTACGCCCCCTACCAAACTGTGTTTTGGCAGAGCGCCAGCTTCTTTGCTGCTGCTGCTGCTGCTGCTGCTGCTGCTGCTGCTGTGTTTGCTGCACTTACTTAAGGACGATGTCTTTTCTTGTGCGGCCCTCAGCTTTGCTTAGCCGTTCTTGCATGCGCTGCTGCATGAGCTGCTTTCGCTGCTGCTGCTGCTGCTTCTGCTGCAGGACGGTGCAGCACAGCCAAAGGAGGTTCAGGTGGAGGAGCTGAGGGCTCGGCTTGCTGCTGCAGATGAAGCATTTCTGCAATCGCAGCAGCAGCACGAAGAAAGAGACAAGGAGACTCTGAAGCGGCAGCTGCAGGAGCTGCAGCAGCAGCAAAAGAAACAAAAATGTAAGGGGAGAGACACAAATATCTCTTTATAGGGCCCCGCCCTTGCGGTGCTGCAGCAGCAGCGGCAGCCGTTAGTTGCAGCTTCTTGAGGCATGTACACAAAGTACAGCAGAAGCAGCTCTTCTAAATGCAGCGGCAGCATAGCAACAGCAGCAGCAGCAAGAGCTTCAGTAGCTGCTTCTGCTGCATGCGCAGGCAAGACAGAAGAAAAAGAGGAGAAGCTGCAGCGGCGCCTCCACGAGCTGGAGGCAGCAGTTGTCGCAGCCAAGGCCAGCGCAGCAGAAGCATATACGGTAAGCAGCAGCAGCAGCAGCGCTTGCTGCAGCAGGAATAGTTGCTGCAGCAGCAGCACAGCAATTGCTGCAAGTGGTTT